CCCGCAATATCACTCCAGGTGACCTGCAAGGGAAAAACAGTGTTGGGAATGATCAGCATTGATCCTGCCAAGGAAAAGCACCCACCAGCTTCAAAGAAGTGCCTTGAAATTAAAAGAGAGAAGGGATGAAAACCCTCTGCTCTCAGTGATGCAGTTTTAGATCACAGGAGTATTTCCACAGAGGTGCAAAGAATGTAACCCAGGGAGCAAGGGGAATTTTGGAGGCCTGAGGAGCAGGGAAGTTGCTCACATGCATGCTGAGTGGGTCCACCAGGTGGGCAGCAATGCTCATCTCATACTCAGTCAGCTTGACATTCTTCACTCCTATCTGCTTCATCAGCTTTTCAGCCTGGGGAAAACCAAACACCAAGCAAATCAAAGGAAAGAAATGGAATGCTTCTCTCAGAAATCAGCTTTTTTAAAGAACTGCTGGTTGTGGTTTGAAAAGCTTCTCCCTAAGAGGTGAAATCTTGTTTTAAGCAGAAGGTTCTGCTGTTTCCTAATGACTTTGTTGTCACCTGAGTGAAACCAAGTCAGATGTCTCAGTTCCCATCAAACAAATTCTCAGACCCTCACATGCCTAACCCACAACTCCTCTGCTGTGACCTAAGAAACAACCATAACAAACCTTAAAACAGAGTGTGCCCCACAAGCCTCCACAGCACTTGGAGGGATTCATGTATCTTCACATGAATCAAGGGGAAATCAATGTATTTTTAAATTCCCAGAAGCCAGTCACTTTCTCATGTGTGTTCAGTGGGTTTTCCCTAACTTACAAGGAAAACTCATTGTGCCAACACACTTGCACAATTCAGTTTCTCTTTCTACTCAAACTTGCAGTAAGTCTAACAAGGTTTTGGGACAGTGCAGCCTCTTAGGTAACAGCTGCCACTGAACCCACAGGGAAAGCTGGTTTTCAACTAAAAAGCCCATTACAGAAGGAAAACCACCCAACACAGGCTTAGGTTGCTCAAAACCTGTGAAGTTCCTGCCAGTCACAAACCAAACCAAAAGAAAGCTGCCACATTTCCAAAGCAAACCTATAACTTTTGCTTCTGAAGGGCCCCTAAAGCTTTTGCAGAGCACAAGTTGTTCCAGTTCAAGGTAAGGAACGAGACTTTTCATTTTTCCCCTCCTCTTTCCAAGGCATTTTGACTGCTGGTGAAGGTCTCTGCCACTAAGTTGCCAGAAATACAGAGCTTTCAAGTTCTCTTTTAAGCTAGGAATTATCTCTGCTCAAGGTTTCCAAAAGCAACCAAGAGCTTGATGATTTAAGGTCACTGCTGCTCAACAAAGTTGTCAGAAGCAGAGAAGGCACCAGGCCCACAGACTTGCTGAAAATCAGAGCCAACAGCAGCCTCCAGACCAACAGCTTTGCCACCACATCAAGCCAGAAACTGTAATTTCTTATAAACCTGTCATTCGTTCTAGACTGCAATTTCTTATAAAACAACAGACCAAGAGCCTAAACCCTGACTAAAAAACTTCAGCTTCCCACCAGCACATTCCTCAGGATCCCAAGGAAACGGCGCGGAGCGCAATCCTACCTGCTTCTGAGCTTCCACCTTCTGCTTCCTGGTGGGGTCGATGGCATCCACCATCCATTTGATGGTGAAGTAGGTCACGGCCCCGAAGATGGTGAGGCGGAAGATCAGCCCCACCACCTCGTTGCGGCTCAGGGGCCGCGAGAACGCCTCGGCGTGCACCATCCTCCTCCTGCCCTGAGGGGAAAGGGAACACAGGGAGGGGAGGGAAGGCAATCAGAGCTGGAAACAACACCTGCCTCGTGGTGGGATGTTGCTCGATAAAAATGTTTTGCAGTTGGGGAAAGTGAATGAAAGACAGCGCGCAGGGAAGGGATTCCCAGTGCCAGAGGGCAGGGATGGATGGGATATTGGGAATTAGGAATTGTTCCCTGGGAGGGTGGGCAGGCCCTGGCACAGGGTGCCCAGAGCAGCTGGGGCTGCCCCTGGATCCCTGTGTGAAAAACGCCAATCACATAGTTTTTAAAACTTTTCAAAGTTTAATAATAATAAAATGGTTATAAAAATAGTAATACAATTAGAGTAATGAAATTGAAAGTTAGGGCAATTACAAGACAATAAAAAGCAAAGAATTACAGACGTCTGGATGCTCTCGGACACTAAGTCAGGAAAAGCATCCCTTGTGAATAAAGGAATAATCTTTAAAGCAACAGCCTGTTGCATATTCATGTATCCTTCATGGTTATGCATACATTCTATTTAAAACAAGAAACTCTCTCTGTTGTATGTCAGCTGTTTCCTTTAATCCCCAAGGTGTCTTCGAGTCTGAGCAAGGCCTGAAGAAATTAGTTTATTCTGATAAGAAAACCATAAATTCCTTTTCTTTGGAAGATTTAGGTGTTCCTCAAATCGAGTATCTCATTCCAAAAAAAAACCACCTCCCTCCACATACATAGTCTCTATTTTAACATTATGTTGGAACCTAAAACTACATTTAACACAATACTTAAGAGAATTAATAGAGCATAACTTTCTAACATTACACACAGAACGTTCATTGTAACATTTGCAAAAAGCCAATCATAAAATATGCATTTTTCACACCTGGAAGTGCCCAAGGCCAGACTGGTGCAAGCTGGGAGAGTGGAAGCTGTCCCTGTCCAGGCAGGGATGGCAATGATTGGCTTTCAGGTCCCTCCCAACCCAAACCAGCCTGGAATTCTGTGCTCACAGAGGGCACAAAGTTGACATTCCCACTGAGACTGACATTTTGGGGTGCTGCTGACCCTGACTGCTGAATCCTGGAGCCAGGGAACTCCATGGTTTAAGCAGAGAGGTGTTTCCCTGAGAGGAAGCTGACAGGAAAGGCACTGGCTGCCACATTAAGGAGCAATCAGCGACTCACGTTTGATTAAAACGAGGTTAAGAGCTGGAGCCTGCACCTGGCAGGATAGATGGGGAGTTATTAATATCCCTGGAAACCTGAAAATGCTGGATGTGGCACACAGCTATCCAGGGAAAAGCCTGACTGCTGCATGAGCCAAGCCCAGAGAGCACAGCACCCTCAGCCTTGGGAACAAAAGGCACAGAGGAAAGAACTTTGCTGAAACACTGGGACAAGAGTTGTAAAATCAGGGTCCACTTCTTCCTCAGCTGCTGGGGGGGACCTGCTTGAGAACCCCCAAATCACTCTTTGGGCACTGCCCCATTTTCCTTCTACAAGGACAAAACCAGCAGCAATTCCTTTGGCAGCTCCTGCCACTCCCTGGCCACCCTCCAGACCAAGCTGGCAGCCAGGGCAACCCTGCAGCCCCCACAGCCAAATTCTCCCTGGATCCCCCTCCCCAGGGGGCCCTGCAGCACCCACAGCCAAATTCTCCCTGGATCCCTGCTAAAGGGTCTGAGGAAGTGCTCTGGAGCTGGGGGACTGACGTGTCCTCGTCAGTCCAAATTTATGAAAATAAAAGGGCTCCGCAGTCACTGGGCAAGGAGAAAACCTCCCCAAAATCCCCGTGCAGGAACCTGCTCCTTATGCAACCCGTGCCCTGAGCGCCAACCGAAAGGAAAAGCTTGAACACGAGAGAAGCTGAACTCCTGACGACACCCAAACGCTCAAACCCGCAGGAACTCAGCGTTTGCTTTCCCTGAGGCGAGGACTCCTCACGCCGGGCCCGCAGCGGCTCCGCTCTCCCCGTTCAGGCGCAGAAGGGAAACCAAAAGCGGCAGCGGCGCTGCTTTCCGTTCCGCCCCGAGGGCAAACCGAGGCACTGCCGGGAAAGCCTGGCCTGCCCCGGGAGCCCCTGCAGCGCGGGGATTCCCCCCGGTGCCGGGCGGCCCCGTCACGGCTGCCCCGGGCCGGGCCGGGCCGCGCCGCCCGTGACCTTCCCGCCGCCCGGCTGGTGCGGCGCGGCGGGGCCGCTCCGCCGCCGTGCCGCCGGGTCACTCACCGTGCGGCGGCTCTCCGGGACGCGGGGCGGGGCGAGCCGCAGGAGGAGGACGGAGAGGAGGAGGAAGAGCGGCGGGAGAAGCGGAGCGAACGCCGGCGGCGGCGCCCAGGGCCCGGCAGCGGCGGCGGCGCGTCCGGCGCTTCCTCCGTCCGGGCGGCGCTCGCCGCCCCGCCCAAAGGTTCCGGCCGGCGGCGGCCCGCGCGAAGGTTCCGCCCACCGGATGCGGGGCCGGGATCGGCCGGGATCGACCGGGAAGGGCCGGGATCGACCGGGAAGGGCCGGGAAGGGCCGGGATCAGCACCGAGCGGCTCCACCGGCACCCCCGGGCACGGCTCTCCCGGCTGGAACAGCGGGAGCTCCGCTCCATCCCCACTGTGAAAAATGCATGTTTTATGATTGGCTTTTCGCAAATTATATAATATTATGTGTAATGTTAGACAGTTTTGCTGTTTTAATTCTCTTAAGTAGTGTGTTAAATGTAGTTTTAGGTTGCAACACTATGTAAAAATAGAAACTGCGATAAAGGATTTGTTGCAATCTCAAGCAGGCGGATGAGATAATCAAGAAACTCTTCACACAGAAATGTCAGCGAAAGAGACCCATAAAGAGTTACAGCCTCCTTATTGAAAAAGACATTCTTCCACCTTCTCTCTGTCTTTATGGAACCACCAGGACTAAGGGGAATAAGTTGACAAAAACTAGAAAAGTTCTTAATTTGCAAGGAATTTATGCATCAATTATGAGATATATGAATATGCAACAGGCTATTGCTTTAAAGGTTATTCCTTTGTTCACAAGGGATGCTTTTCCTTAGTATCCAAGAACATCCGGACCTCCGTAATTCTTTGCTTTTTATTGTCTTGTAATTGTCCTGACTCTCGATTTTATTACTCTAATTGTATTACTATTTTTATAACCATTTTAGTATTATTATTAAACTTTTAAAATTTTAAGAACCAAGTGATTGGCGTTTTTCACACCGCTAACACGTAACATTTGTGTTCATAACGTATACATCGTGTGAAGAGAAATATAAAATTATAAATATAAAGCAACACATATATGCATATATAGGCATATTTCATATAGTTATATATTTTATACATACACATGTGTACATAACCGATATAAAACGTGTCTCACGTATTCCCAACATACACATAGTGAAAGAACATCCAGGAAAAAGGTGGAAATGACGAGATCTAAGAGCCGTAATTAACCCGGAGTTTTGGCAGTTTCTCCTCAGCCCTTCTCTCCAGCCAAGGTTTTCCAAAGACAGGACAAGGGGAAATGGCCTCAGGCTGTGCCAGGGGAGGTTCAGGTGGAACATCAGCAGGAATTTCTTCACGGAAGAAATTATTTCGATTTGATCAGGCAAGTCCTTCCCTTTCACGCTGCTCCTGCAGGCTTTGATGGTAAAAAAAGATTATAATCTTCTGGGGGTTTTTGTTTTTCAGTTCGTGTGGACCATTGTGCTCATTCATTCCTGGAGGAAAATATTTAGGACCCTTCTGGTTTTCTTCCCACTCCTGGGAAAAAAGTGACATCTGTTTTGGTGCAATTAAGGAGAAACGCAAACACACAGGAGGAAAAGCAGCTCGAAACTTACGGTTGTGGTGGCAACCCCTGAAAGAAATCCCATGGAAAAATACATCTCCAAGACGTGGGGAAGTGCAGTTTTTCAGGGTGGTGGGGATGCAGGAGGTGTGGATTGGATTGGGCTCCAGTTTACCCAGATATTGAGGGATTGTGCCCAGGGTCGTGACTGATTTCCTTCCCTGAGTTCACGTGGGTTTTCCATGCATAGCTCCAGTGCAATGGGCTCTCTGGAAAAGGAATGCACTGGGAAGTATGGGGGAAAAGTGTTGGTGGCAGCTCAGTCCCCAAGCCCTTGGCATGTTGGAACACTTCCCACCTGAAAACAGAGCCAGGAGGTGGGAACACAAGTTAAAACTCAGACACAGAACAAGCTGGGGTGGCTGGGAACCTCCACCCAGCTCATTCCACCCTGTGCCACCTTCCACTCCATCCCACCTTGCTCCAGTCTGGCCCTGGACACTTCCACTCTCTCAGTTTGGGGTTTGCAGCTGGAGGGAAGGAGGAATGTAGAAATCCAGGGGGCTGACAGGGATCTCTGTGCCCACAAAGTGCTCCTGGAGGCCAGGCTTGGCACGAGGATAAGTGGATGCAGACCAGCCCCAAATATATTTGGCCTGAAAACCAGGAGGAGGTTCTGGGAATAGTGGTGGTAAAACATCTCAAGATGCAACTTGATACGTTGCTGAAAGGAATTATATAAGAGTATTTGCAAAGGCTGGAGGCTGCAGCAGCCTGGGAAATCCCTCCACCTGATGTTCCACTTTATTTTGAGTCCTTAAAGGTCATTTTCCTGCAAAACATTAAATTCCCAAAATTTACAGTTACAGTTCTCAGCTTAGAGTGCAAAGAGCCTTGTACAATGGGGTTTCTCCCCTAATGTTTTTAAACAGTTATAAAGACTGCTTTAGACATTTGTAGACAGGGTTTTCTCCCTGCCAGGATAACTGTGATCACTGTGGGAAGGAGAATGGACAGAAAGCTCCATGGAAATACCACGGGCTGCTGGGCCAGCCAGCCTGACCTGGGGGGACTGGCATGCCCCTGTCCCCGAGCTAGGCTACCCCGAGGATATCAGGAGGAATTTCCCCATGGAAAGGCTGCTCAGGCCTTGGCAGGGGCTGCCCAGGGAGCTTTGGGGTGCCCATCCCTGGAGGTGGCACTCAGTGCTCTGGGCTGGAGACAAGGTGGGCACTGGGCACAGCTGGGACTCCACGGGCTGGCAGGGATTTTCCAGCCTCAATGACTCTGCCATTCCGAGGGCAGCAGGTGGCCCAAAGCCCCCTTCCCTCCGTGCCCGGTGGCTGCAGGGGGCGACAGGCGCTCGCTCACCGCCGCTTCCCCCGGGCTGCGTAAGGGGAGGACGACAAGCCCCTTCAAGACGCCGGGCTGAGCACCCCCCCGTTCCTTTTCCCCGCGGGGCCGCACCGAGCCCGTTCTTCCCCCTGCCTTCTTCCCGGCCAGCCCGGCCGAGGAGGGCGGGGAGGCGAGGGGCGGCAGTCCCGGCTCGGGGGGCTCGGCCCCTCACGGCCCCTCACGGCCCCTCACGGCCACTTCCGCCCGCGGGGGAGGCGCCGCCGCCAGCGCCCACGTGACCCAACGCAGCACCGCGCTGCCTCACCTTACCGCCCGTATCCTTCCGCTCGCCGCTCCCCCCTCCCCCGCCCACTCCGTGCGGCGAGGGGAGCCGGCGGGCAGAGGGGTACGGACGGCGCCCGCACCGCGATCCGCTCCCCCGGTGCCCCCGCTCCGCCGCGTGTCCGCTTCTCCGGCGGCGGGGTGGGAGGGACTACTTTGTGTGTTGGCGGATGCGTCGCGTGGGCGTGGCGGCGCCGCCCGCCGTCCCTCTCGGAAGCCGCGGCCATGATGGGCGCCCCGCGCCGGCGAGCGCTGCGGGCCGGGGGATGAGCGCGGCCGTGCCGCCCTGAGGAGCCGCCGCCGGGAAGAGCCGAGGGAGCGACCGCCCGGCCCCCGGGGCGGGGAGCGGAGCGGGGCCGGGCCGGGGGCGCGCCCCGCGCCGCTGTCACCATTGCCGGGGCCCGGAGCGCCGCAGAGCTGCTCCCCCCGCCGCCGCCGCGCTCGCCCCAAACACGGCGGCGGCGGCGGCACCGCCCGCAGGGGCTCGGCGCGGCTCCCGACGCGCTCGGAGGAGGAGGAGGAGAAGGAGGAGGAGGAGGGAGCGGCAGCCGGTGCCGCCGCCGGGAGCCGGGCCCGCCCGGGGCTGAGCCGCCGGAGCATCAGCGCCCGGGGCCGCCCGGTGGTGCCTCGCGGCCGCCGCCCGGGCCCTGCGCGCTGCCCCGGAGCGGCCCCCGGCTGCCAGACATGACCGCCATCATCAAAGAGATCGTCAGCAGGAACAAAAGGCGATACCAGGAGGATGGCTTCGACCTGGACCTGACCTGTATCCTCCTCCCGCTCCTGCTCCCGCACGTCCCGCGATTGCATCAGACCCGCGCGGCGTTACCTAACGCGCTGCCCCCGGCCGCTCCGCCGCCGGGGCTCGCCCGGGCCGCCGCGCCCTCCCCCGCCGCCGCCGCCGCCTCGGCCGCCTTTTGTCCGGGCCCGGCAGATTAACGGGAGCTCCAGGATTAACGCCAGCGCTCCTTGCCGGCCGGCCCGCGGCCCCCCCGAGCCGCCGAGGGGCCGTGCCCCCCCGGCCCCGAGCCCCTGGCCGCTCCGGAGCAGCCGCTTATCTCCGGCTCTGCTGCTGGCTTTTGGGCTCACGCAGCAAATGCGCCCGACCCGACGTGATTTGCGTGCACAGCGCTTTCTAGATAGATATTTTTTTAATTTAGTAACTCGTCTTAAGTTGCGATTATAATCGTGGCAAGGCCTGTGGCTTTCCTCGGGTTGCTTCAGTCGAAGCCTGTGTCCTCTGCCCTGATTTCCAGCCCTCCACTAAGGCAGAGCTGTACCTTAGGATACAGCAAGGCTCTCCATGACAAGAGGTGGCAATCACTCCTTCTAAATTTAAAAAAAAAAAACAAAAACCAACCAGAACCCACCATTTTTTTCCCCGGTGAGCTGCACGAGGATGTGTCACAAACGAGAGCGCGTCGGGTCTCATCGAGGAGGATTGTATAGAATACTTATTCTGGAATAAGTAATTAGCGTGCAATTACGGCTAATGAGGCAAAAGCCGGTGTGTAGTTTTAGTGGCCTTTGGAACAGATGTGTTGGAGCGGAATCAGGCAGATGTTTAGCTTGGAATGCCCTGCAGCGTTCATGGTGGGTAGGGGCTCTGCTGGCGCCAGGGTCTTGCTCCGTGCTGGTGAAAGATTGGTGCTGTGGGAAAGGTTTTGGGGCAAGAACTTTGCTTAGAAGTTGGGAAAATGAGTACTGACAGTAGTGCTCGGAGCTGGACTTCTCCCTGTGGAGAGATGTTTTCCGTTCTGCAACGGGATTAGGTGGAAATTTATTGGGTTTTGGAGCAATTACAGTCTGTCTGAGCAAGTGCTCCAAATAAATCCAGTTTTAGAGCGGGATAAAAGCTGTAGCTAGTACAGAGCTCTTGCATTGGGCCTTGGCCTAAAAATTTTGGTGGCTTTAAAACAACCTGAAATGTTCTGGAGTTTAGCAAGTGGCTGCTTGGCTTTTAGTTAAAAACCCAGAAGCTCTGGCTCATTATTCCTGCGTTATGTTTGTGATAGAAATACTTTCAGGCCTGGATTTTTAGGTGTTTCCACTTGGTGATTTTGTTGGCTTTATGGAAAAAGTTAAGTGGTAGCAAAACCAAAAGGTTTTGCCTTCACAGTTGAAGAGTTTGGTATTTCAGGAATCTTTGCCCAGATGTGCCTTTGGTAGGGAGAGAGATTTTGTCCCAAACGCATCTTTTTAACTGGTCATATGCTCCCAGCAAGAAAATTAGTGAATGCTGAACCTCGACTTTCTTGCTCAAGATTGCCTAATAATGTGACAAATGGAACTGATGGCTTATTTTTAATTTTTATTATTAGAATATTGTGTTAAGGCAGGCCATTACACTGGGCTTAGGCTGGTATTTCTAAAAGGAGCAGCTGGCTGCAGTTCTGCCGTGAAATTTGTGGAAAAGATGGTGTGGTTTCTTTAATGATAAAAAAATATCATAGGAAGAAATGGAATTTTTTTTGTAGCTGCACATTTTGAACAGATAATTAATGAATGAAGACTTCTGCCTGTGCAGTGGCTTTGCTTGAAGGCTGATGTTGCTGCGGAAGTGAAAGTTGAATTTTTTTCATCACTTTGTGCAGGATTCTTTTTGCAAGGCTCCAATGGAGTTGTTACCCACCATTCCTGGTAGCTGGGAAATTGCCTGTGTATTCCTTATACACATGGCCATGGATTTAGCTCTCCAACCGTGTCATATAAAGGGGAAAAAAGAGAAAACCTGGAGCCCAAGTGAGCTGTTCAACAGGGCATGGCAGGAGGACCAGGTGTTAGAGAAGCCTGGTTAGTTCAGGGTAGCTGCCTCTGTCCAGCTAAAAGGGAGAGGCAGCCAGGAGTTCAGCATTTGGCTGGGAATGGGAAATGGAGGTCTGGGTTCCTCCTGCAGCTCCAGAACGCTCAGCAGCTGCTGCTCACCTGGGCTTTGGGAGCTGGAGAGTGGAAGGAACTGCAGTGAGTCCAGGTGAGGTGCCTGTGTTCTGTGCTCTGCCCTTTCTCCTGCCCCTTCCTGTCTCAGTGTCCCCTGTGGCCAGAGACTTTTGGGCATGGATATTATCCAGAGGCAGGCTGGATGAGGTGCTGGAGTGCCAAAATCCTTGGTTGGGCTGTGCCAGATCCTGTTAAAAGTGATATTGATATATGTGCAGTACAGGACATTGTGCTTGGAACCCTCAGTTCCTGAGGAGCTGCTTAAGAATCCTTGTTTCAGCAAAGTGAGACAGCATCTTCCCAAAATCATTGCAGAGCATGAAAATGGGCCTGTGTGTCTTTAAAAACCACACTGCTGCTGCTTGTCTTCTAATCAGATGTTTTCTCTGAGCAGTATTTATGCACATCTTGGAAAAAAATTTTGAACTTGGAAGAAAAGGTTTTAAAGGTGGAGACATTAAATCAGCTGTTTAATGCTTCAGATGTTTTTCTGGTTTATTTGGGTTTTAATTAATTTCTGCAGTACTGGATACTTTTTGGTGCACATGGGTGAGAAGGAAGGTTTGGATTAATGTCTTTTCTTTGATGGTTGCATTTCTTGATGCTGCAAGCACCAGAATGTTTTCTGAGGCACTCTGTGTGTTACTTCTGAAATTGTGCAGTTTAGTGATGTCCCCTTTAC